TTTATTTTAAAGTCTATTTTGTCTGATATGAGAATTGCTACTCCAGCTTTCTTTTGGTTTCCATTTGCGTGGAATATCTTTTTCCATCCCCTCACTTTCAGTTTGTATGTGTCCTTAGGTCTGAAGTGGGTCTCTTGTAGACAGCATATATATGGGTCTTGTTTTTGTATCCATTCAGCCAGTCTGTGTCTTTTGGTGGGAGCATTTAGTCTATTTACATTTAAGGTAATTATCGATATGTATGTTCCTATGACCATTTTCTTAATTGTTTTGGGTTTTGTTATTATAGGTCTTTCTTAATTGTTTTGGGTTTTGTTATTATAGGTCTTTTCCTTCTCTTGTGTTTCTTGCCTAGAGAAGATCCTTTAGCATTTGTTGTAAAGCTGGTTTGGTGGTGCTGAACTCTCTCAGCTTTTGCTTGTCTGTAAAGGTTTTAATTTCTCCATCAAATCTGAATGAGATCCTTGCTGGGTAGAGTAATTTTGGTTGTAGGTTTTTCTCCTTCATCACTTTAAATATGTCCTGCCAGTCCCTTTTGGCTTGCAGAGTTTCTGCTGAAAGATCAGCTGTTAACCTTATGGGGATTCCCTTGTGTGTTATTTGTTGTTTTTCCCTTGCTGCTTTTAATATGTTTTCTTTGTATTTAATTTTTGACAGTTTGATTAATATGTGTCTTGGTGTGTTTCTCCTTGGATTTATCCTGTATGGGACTCTCTGTGCTTCCTGGGCTTGATTAACTATTTTCTTTCTCATATTAGGTTAGTTTTCAACTATAATCTCTTCAAATATTTTCTCAGTCCCTTTCTTTTTCTCATCTTCTTCTGGAACCCCTATAATTCGAATGTTGGTGCGTTTAATGTCGTCCCAGAGGTCTCTGAGACTGTCCTCAGTTCTTTTCATTCGTTTTTCTTTATTCTGCTCTGCAGTAGTTATTTCCACTATTTTATCTTCCAGGTCACTTATCCGTTCTTCTGCCTCAGTTTTTCTGCTATTGATCCCTTCTAGAGTGTTTTTAATTTCATTTACTGTGTTGTTCATCATTGCTTGTTTCATCTTTAGTTCTTCTAGGTCCTTGTTAAATGTTTCTTGTATTTTCTCTATTCTATTTCCAAGATTTTGGATCATCTTTATTATCATTATTCTGAATTCTTTTTCAGGTAGACTGCCTATTTCCTCTTCATTTGTTAGGTCTGGTGGGTTTTTATCTTGCTCCTTCACCTGCGGTGTGTTTTTCTGTCTTCTCATTTTGCTTATCTTACTGTGTTTGGGGTCTCCTTTTTGCAGGCTGCAGGTTCGTAGTTCCTGTTGTTTTTGGTGTCTGTCCCCAGTGGCTAAGGTTGGTTCAGTGGGTTGTGTAGGCTTCCTGGTGGAGGGGACTAGTGCCTGTGTTCTGGTGGATGAGGCTGGATCTTGTCTTTCTGGTGGGCAGGTCCATGTCTGGTGGTGTGTTTTGGGGTGTCTGTGGCCTTATTATGATTTTAGGCAGCCTCTCTGCTAATGGGTGGGGCTGTGTTCCTGTCTTGCTAGTTGTTTGGCATAGGGTGTCCAGCACTGTAGCTTGCTGATCGTTGAGTGAAGCTGGGTGTTGGTGTTGAGATGGAGATCTCTGGGAGATTTTCGCCATTTGATATTATGTGTAGCTGGGAGGTCTCTTGTGGACCAGTGTCCTGAAGTTGGCTCTTCCACCTCAGAGGCACAGCACTGACTCCTGGCTGCAGCACCAAGAGCCTTGTAAAAAACAACAACAACAACAACAACAACAAAAAAAACGGACGGATAGAACCCTAGGCCAAATGGTGAAAGCAAAGCTATACAGACAAAATCTCACACAGAAGCATACACATACACACAAAAAGAGGAAAAGGGGAAAAAATCCTAAATCTTGCTCTCAAAGTCCACCTCCTCAATTTGGGATGATTCGTTGTCTATTCAGGTATTCCACAGATGCAGGGTACATCATGTTGATTGTGGAGATTTAATCCGCTGCTCCTGAGGCTGCTGGGAGAGATTTCCCTTTCTCTTCTTTGTTTGCACAGCTCCCGGGGTTCAGCTTTGGATTTGGCCCAGTCTCTGCGTGTAGGTCTCCGGAGGGCGTCTGTTCTTCGCTCAGACAGGACGGGGTTAAAGGAGCCGCTGATTCGGGGGCTCTGGCCCACTCAGGCCAGGGGGAGGGAGGGGCATGGAGTGCGGGGCGGGCCTGCGGCGGCAGAGGCCGGCGTGACGTTGCACCAGCCTGAGGTGCGCCGTGCGTTCTCCCGGAGGAGTTGTCCCTGGATCCCGGGACCCTGGCAGGGGCGGGCTGCACAGGCTCCCCGGAAGGGGGGTGTGGATAGTGACCTGGGTTCGCACACAGGCTTCTTGGTGGCGGCAGCAGCGGCCTTAGCGTCTCATGTCTGTCTCTGGGGTCCGCACTTTTAGCCGCGGCTCGCGCCCGTCTCTGGAGCTCCTTTAAGCAGCGCTCTTAATCCCCTTTCCTCGCGCACCAGGAAACAAAGAGGGAAGAAAAAGTCTCTTGCCTCTTCGGCAGGTCCAGACTTTTCCCCGGACTCCCTCCGGGCTAGCCGTGGTGCACTAAACCCTTCAGGCTGTGTTCATGCCACCAGCCGTCTCCCTGCGCTCTGACCGAAGCCCGGGCCTCAACTCCCCACCCCGCCCGCCCCGGCGGGTGAGCAGACAAGCCTCTCGGGCTGGTGAGTGCCGGTCGGCACCGATCCTCTGTGCGGAAATCTCTCTGCTTTGCCCGCTGCACCCCTGTTGCTGCACTCTTCTCTTTGCTCCGAAGCTTCCCCCCTCTGCCACCCACAGTCTCCGCCCGCGAAGGGGCTTCTAATGTGTGGAAACCTTTCCTCCTTCACGGCTCCCTCCCATTGGTGCAGGTCCCGTCCCTATTCTTTTGTCTCTGTTTATTCTTTTTTCTTTTGCCCTACCCAGGTACGTGGGGGGTTTCTTGCCTTTTGGGAGGTCTGAGGTCTTCTGCCAGCGTTCAGTAGGTGTTCTGTAGGAGTTGTTCCACGTGTAGATGTATTTCTGGTGTATCTGTGGGGAGGAAGGTGATCTCTGCGTCTTACTCTTCTGCCATCTTCCCCCTCTCCAACAGTGTGTCTTCTTCTTTACTGAGGTATAATTAACGTAAGATAAATGACACCTATTTAAAGTATAAAATTTCAGCCGTTTTGACATATGTAGAGAAACCATCATCACAAGCAAGATAACGTACATATCCGTCACCTCAACAGTTTTCCATACCCCTTCGTAATCCCTTCAGCCACTGCCTCATCCCCAGGCAACCGCTGATCTGCTTTCTGTCACTATAGTTTAGTTGGCATTTTTAAGAATTTTATACAAATGGAATTTTTATATGTGTGTGTTTGTTTATATTTGTGTGTGTATTTATTCCTTGTCTCCAGTTCAGCTTCAGGAAGAGAGAAAGTTAAGTGCACGTGTCCCTGGGAATTTGGTTCGCTGAATTAGAGGTGAGGGTAACATCCCAGGAGTTAAGCTGACTCCTTTGTCTGCTGGTAGTTGGCAGAACTTGCTCAGACTTTTCCTGAGCAGATGGCAGAGTTTAATATTATGAAGCAGATTGGAGGCGGGAGGTTGTCGTTGATTTTCCAGAAATTGTTGGCACAAATGCCTTTAGGGCCTTTGTCCTGTGGGGTTTTACGACGTTGTGGCGTGATTATGATAAGCGTGTGGCAAATTCTATTACAAGAAGGTGTTTCCGTGGCACCAGAGCTGTGGAGGGCGGACCCTGCACTGCCGCTGGAGATCAGAGCACTGCGGGAGCTGTGTGGCCTTGGCTCAGCCCAGAGCTGCAGCCCTTGTTTCGTTTTCCACTTATAAGATATAGGCGCAGTGCTCCCTCTTTCCCTGGGTTGTCGCATAAAGGCGTGAAGGTGCATCGAAACAGTCAAGGGTGTACAAGCGGGAGGCGTTGCTGAATCCCCGGTTGACCTGCAGTCACGATGATATGCTGACCTGCAATAATTTTTTTTGGTGAATAATTCCATACCACAGAGCACTTTGGCCCTTGTTTCTGCCGCCATTCTATAGTGAAAGGGCATATGGGTGGGGCAGAGGGACCCTCCCCTGCAGTGTTGTCTCAGCCTCGCACCTTTCCCCTACACCCTGCGGCAGTTGAATCCCAGCCAGAGGACCACGTAGGGCCAGGCGTGCCTGCCCGCCGTGTCCAATGTGGATATGCATGGTGATGCCAAAATGGTACCCGCTGCCCAGGAGGCACCTCTGCTGCCCGGCAGGTGGCCCGGGAGGTCTCATTTCCTCCTGTAAGTGGGTCTCGAGCTTCTCCCCACATCTCGAAGGAAGGTGACTCCTTCTAACATGAGGGACAGGGCACAGCTAACAAGTCAAGAGACTCGGGTTTCAGGCGTTCGCCCCCTTCAGGATGGCAGGTTCCAGGAGAGAATGTGTTCGCACCGCATTGTCCGGCGCGGGAACGTTCAGACTCCGAGGAGATTAGGAGGGGGTGTTGGGGGCACAGGGGGCAGGTAGCACGTGGCACCTGGCCAGGGTCCTGCAGCGAGGTCCCTGGAGGTTAACCAGGCACCCTCATGCCCGCAGCGGGAGCTCCCACAAAGGCAAGGACGCCCTAGACCGGGTCGCTGCTGAGCACCTGGACCCCAGGGCGTGGCTGAAGGGTGTGTGGCCAGGGCAGAGAGGGCTGGGGACCCCTGGAAGGGGCGAGGGGAAGGGGTGCAAGGATAAGGGGAGCCACGCCTAAGGGCTGCTGGCCTGCTTCCCTTGGGCCTGATTTTCCTATGCCCTCTTTTCTCCCATCCTCCATATCCACCCTCTCTGGATTCCCCCATCTTTGTATCCTGTCCCCCATCCTCACCTTCCAGAGCTTTCTTCTAGGGTTTATTTTGTGTGAAAGTCATCTAGGTTTAACCCTTCCAAAGGCTATGTCAAAGGAGGTTAGGGTTCCGTATCTGGCCACTGGCCACGCGTAGCTGCTGAGGACTTCGAATGTGGCTACTGAAGCTGAGAAACTCCATTTATTTTATTTTATTTTAATACATTTAAAAGCTGATAATTCAGTTATTTGGAAAACTTTGTGTTTGGAGCAACTTGGGTACGTGAATATGCTTTTTCAAAGGTAAATTTTTATGAAATCTAAATATAGATCAAATATTTTCAATGAAAATTTAGGGAGTTGAGTGAAGGGGAAAAGAATTTAAGGTGGAACCTAAAATGGGATTAATAGTCAATGTAGCAAAGTCCTAGAATGTTTATTAAGGAACTAAGTATAGGTTTTTACCATTTGACACTAACGAAATAGAGCAAAGAGACTGAAGACCTCCGTGAGAGGCAAAGAAGCCAGGGCCTTCCCTGTGTCCCTGCCCCAGCCGGGGCCTCGTCTTTGTTACCTTCACCTACCATGCGCCCAGCACAGCACCTGGGCCCTCCCGGGGGTCAGTGGGAAGCAGAGAAGCTTCAGCAGCGCTTTCCTGTAGAGGCAGCCAGTGTCAGGGAATGAGTGAGAACCTGAGGAAAGCTTTTGCAGCTGCAGGGCTGGGTCCTCAGGAGTCCCACACGGAGTAGCGAGGAGGGTGACAGTGTTGATCCTAGGAGCCCTCTCCCTGGCTTTGTTTCGTCTGAGCCAAGAGGGCCGAGAGCCCAGGCTGTGCTGAGGAGGGAGGGGGCAGGAAAACTGTCACTGTTTTCACCTCCCCCATAACTCCCTTTTTATGAACAGCCATTGTGCCAGGTACGATGCTATCTCTGTGCTCTCACAAAATCTGTCCCTAAAGGCTGTAGAGAGCTCTTTGAAAGACAGCCTCACAGCTCTGGAGTTTCTGATTGGCAACTTTGGGATGAGGCCAAGAAAGCATCGTCTGATTCCCACTGCTCAGTCCTGAGGGCTGTCGCTGCTGTCATTTGATCAGCATCAGGCTGGTGTGCTAATGGCAAGGCCGGATGCCACCCCTGGCTCCAGGGCGGTCGGAGGTCTCATGCACACCTGCGCGCGCACACACACACACACACACACACACACACCCGAGTCTTCACCTGTAACTCCGCCTAGCAAACAAGCTACAAAGACATAGGGCTTGCCATCACTACAAAAAGTTAAGACAGTAGAGAAGAGAGAAGACTTCTCAGAGTCAAGGGAGGAGGAGAGGGAAAAAGGCAATCTAAAGAAACCTATGTTTCAGGAGGACATCTCATGCTGTCAAAATGAGAGTGGGAATCCGAAGGTTCTCTGTGAACTGCAAGGTGTCAGCCAGGAGAGATTGGTGGTGGGGGCCTCCTTCTCAGTCATGGAACTAACTGGTCTCTGCTGGGCTCTTACATCAGAGGGTGGAGAATAAAGGAGTTACGTCATCCCAAAAACTGTCTTTGTCACTTGGAGGGAAGACCATGAAGGATCTCTGTAACATTCCATTATTTCTGGTCCCTGAACACCATGATGCCAGCCCCTGCACAGATAACTTCCTGCTTTCATAGTTTGAAAATATCCTTTAACTCAGCCATGGCTCGACATCTTCTTCCAAGTCAGAGAAGTTGATAGGTCCCAATTCCAGGCTGACAGTAGGGACACAGACCGCAAAGGTGGTAGAGATAAAATTTGGGCAGGAGAGACAAACCCCTTCAACCATTTTGCTTCTGTTTCCTTTAGACACAAAAGCAGCTTAGGTCATCTCAGAGTTCACATCTCCTCGAGGAGAGAGAAGGCAACAACACGTTTTCAAGGAATAGCCCAATTATTTATAAAACCCGTAAAGTATGAAACATAACGACACCCCTGACAGGAGCTTGGGTCGGGCTTAATATTCTGTCCTCACACTTAGGGCTTGACAGGCAACTTCTGCTTTCAGTTATCATTCCAAAGTGAGACTCTTCCAGATCTTACGTGTCTTCTCTCTCTCTGAGGTCCATTCAGTGCGTCTGATTCAATTGTAAAGCAATTATACTCCAATAAAGAAGTTAAACAGACAAAGAAAAAAACAAACAAACAAAGGGCAGGACTTGGAAAATGCCTCTACTATATTACAAAGAATATCTCTTGTTTTCGTTTTGTCTCGGACACCTTGACCCTTCCTGTTACCCCCGTCCCCCCAGCTGTAAGGTCAGACTAAAGGTTTTGTCATAGCAGAAGGAAAGCAGACAACAAGCCCTTCCCTGCGGAAGGAAATGGTCTCAAGAGCAGAGCCTAAGTCTGAGTGCAGAGAGAGTCCGTGTTCTGGTCTGAAAGCATGGACAAAAAGCAGAATTCCCAGGACACTGGAAACCACATTCAAGTGAAGCCCTGGATGAGAGTGTTTTCTAACCATCAACAGCCCGCAGCGGGCGACGTGGTTTGTGCTCCCCGAATCCGAACCACTTCATGGTCTCACACTCACGAAGCAGACAGCTCAGACTTCCTACCTCCTACGCAAGCTCTCCCCATCCACGCTCCCACTGGGGGTGGCATGGCATCAGGATGGTGGGGTCCCCCAAGGGTCTGGGGTGCTTGTGGGTGGAACTCCAGAGAACCCTCAGGTATTTCAAGTGTCCAGGGAGCCACAACAGGCTGTGTCCAAAGCCAGGTCCTTCCTTGAACACGCCTGGGCGTGCCAGGGCCTCACATATGGGCCTCAGCGTCCTGCTTGATGGCCGGTTTGTAGATGACTCCTTTGTTGGCAACTTTTTTGCTGCTGGAACAGCAAGGACACATGAGTGTTGTTAGTCAAAGTGGAAAGAGAGGCAAGAGCAGCCCAACTCAGCTATGGAATGAGGCAAGTCAGATTCCTCCCTTAGAGACCTTTCTCCAGTTCTGTTGGTCTTGGGAGGAAACGCCCCCCAATAAAGCATTAACCAAAAGGGAACCTGTTCATTTTTCAACTGTTCTCTTTTAACGCTTGACGATACTTAGACCTGCATTTTGATGAAGGTCTCATTACCACCCTGCTTCAAATCTCTGATTCCTACAGGGTTTCTGACAACCTCTTTTTTTCATAGCAGGAAAAATAAATTAGGTTTTAGGAAAAACTAAACATGACAATAAAAACACAAGCAAAGGGCATCAATGTGAGTAAGAAATCAAAAAATTTCCCTCAGTTTTCTTCTGGGTTCAGGGAAGAAAAACCGGATGTCAAGATCTTAGAAAGAAGACAGCCTTGGTGCTTGTGTGTAGGTAAATGGGACCTCCCTTCCAAATCAAGAGGCTTGTCCAAGGTCTTAGCAGGGGCAGCAAAGCTGGCAGACCCACCTCCAACTCTGAGCTCAATGACTCTTGAACCACCAGCATCCAGTGTCTCACTGGATCAGTGGTGTCTGGGAAATGGCACTCCCAAACCAACCAAGGATAAGTGTTGGTACAGGTGACAGGGCTCTTTGTTCTGCAGGCTGCCTTCCCAAACAGATCAGTCCTCATGGACACAAAGCCACCCACTCCCATCTTGGGCCCAAATCAGCTCACCTCTTCTTCCTTCTGAAAAGCCAAATGGATACTGCCAGGACAATACAGATGCCCAGAACGCCAGCCAGGGCCACGAAAAGGACGATACCTGTTGAGGGGAAGTGCACACTCATTACAATCCTCCCTTCCCCTTCATGTCATCCCCATAGCACGTGTGTGCGCAGTCAGGTGACAGCTGCAGAATCATCCACAGAAAGGTGTAATTTCCCCATCTCTGTTCTTAGGCTCTGGTCTTTGGCCTAGCAGGATTGGCTGGAGTACTCACAGGGGGCCATTTGCAAATTGTAGCGATTCTCCAGCAGGGGTTCTCAAACTTGCACCAGCATCATCTGAAGAGCTTGTGTCTGATGTAGACTATTTTTGAGCCCAACCCTCAGAGACTCTGATTCAATCGAGAGTTAGGCCCAGGAATCTGCATTTTAACCAGACACCTCTAGCTGATGCTGATGTATGTGGTCCACGAACCACACTTTGAGAAACCCTGGGCTACAGAGTAAGAACTTATTCCATTTTTGCTTGCTGGATTTAAGGCCCCTTGAGATGCCTCTTTATCAGCTTTGGCCCCAAGTTCCATTACACAGTCCTAAGCAGTCCAAAACAACCAGGGCCCGTTGCCAAGGTCAACTGGCTGGTCACCCAACCTCCGTACTGGGCTTAGGCCTAGTTTTTAGGCAATGGCTTCCCATCCTGGCAAACAGAAGGTCTTGGATAGGCTTTTTGAACGTACCCATGCTATAAAGGGATTAGGTCGTTCATTAGGGGAGCATTTGATTGGCAGCTCCTCTTTGAATCAGAGAGTGACTTGAGGGTAAGACACATGGTGAGGAGGGGGTCAGGAGTCAGAGCGATAGCACAGAGAAGCAGAGAGGATGGGCTTGAAGAATCACAGGCCCAGATCACACCGAGAACCACAGGGATCACCCAGCTGCAGCATGCATGGCCGGTTGGCCACCTACCCAGACTCGGTCCTGTGTAGGTAGCGTCTGGCCCTTCAAAGGGAGAGGAAAAGACCAGAAATTAACCAAGTCAAACCCTGGCATATTTGACCAGTGTGTTGAGCAAAGCTCTACCTTTTGTTTGGGTGGAGGTACAGGGCTGATGCAGCCCTCCTGGGGACGTTCACTCTTGGCTCAGGTGCCTGATGGGGTAGAGGGAATTGCCCACCCAGGGAGTTCGCACCGTGATCCCTCCCTCTGATGCTCCTTTAATCACAACCGTCTCTTTGCGTGGCTAAGACTTCAGTTTTTGATACAATATGGTCAACTTGGAAGGTGAGGAAGGGTAAGAATCAGAGTCTACCTTGGTGGGCTGTCATCTGCGTCTCTGGCACCTACCTCTCTTCCTCAGCAAGGAAGCTGCCAGGTTCTAGCTGGCTGGGGCCAGCAGAGCTTGGTTGGAACCTGTCACCAGCCTTGTCCACCCATCCCCATCCAGTACTGTTGTCATGGTTTGGTTCTATTTTTGCTTTGGCCCCGGTGGACAAACTGGAGAAGCCCCTCCACCATACCAGCCTCTCTTCCCTGCTACATGGAGACAGAGGAGCGTGGCTTCTTCAGCAAGTTATTGTTGGGGATGAATGGGGTGAGTTAGTGGGCTCCTCTGTGGGGCTGAAATAGTGCCCAGTGATCTAAGGTGAAATCCCATGGTCAGCCTGCTAGGAACCTCTCTGGAGAGGGCCCTGAGTGAGCCTGTCCTCTCGAGTAACACAGAGGAGCCCAGTCACAGAGCCCCCAGGTTACCCCAGCTGCTTCCATGTTCTCAGAACTACTCCTCATTCTTCCAGTCAGATTCTCCATCTAAAGAAAGTCTCTGCTTACACACACCCGCCTGTCTGGTGGTTTTCTGATCTCAGTAGAAACTTCTAGCTTGTGGTGCGGGGGAGAGGATGGGGGATTGTTCCAGTTCACACTGGAAGCCAGAGTTGTGCAGATGGTGGCCACCCAGCCAGACACTCAGGAGAGCCTGTGCCCATAGAGCCCACCATGGCGACGGAGACCCTGGGAGAGCCCCGATCAAGTGTGAGATGCAGGCAGAGGGCCAGGGGCCACCTCCCCTTGGGGCACTTGATACCCTGGGGAACCAGACCTGAGACTGCAGGGTGAGGTTTTGCTCAGCCCCTTCTCCTGCCATCTGGCCCCAGTCTGGCTGATTCCCCTGGGGCCATCAGCCCCAAGTTCTTTCCCTATGTCTTCCTTCACAGTCTAATATTGAGCCAGTAGCCTCCCTGGTCCACGGCTGGGCCCTAGTTGTCCCTGGTCTGGCTTCCCAGGTGGCCCCAGCCTGTTGAAAGGATAAGCAGGGCAGGTATGGATAGAAGCCGTCCACAAAGGGCAGGGTGGCCTGTTCTCTTGGCTGTTGCCGGACACCACTGGCAGCCCACGGCCTCCCAGGTGGCAGAGAGCGTGGCTCCTGTCGCTCGATTCCCTGCCCTGAACACAGGGACCAGTCTGTGGCTTGGGGAGATTCTCAGGACGTGAGTCTCCCCCTGGGAAAAGCATCAAGTGTTTGTACAGCACATGTTCTGTTCCCTGCATGGCCTGTGGCCTCTGCATACTATAATTTGTTTTGTTTTGTTTTGTTTTTTAAGGTACCTAGAGGTAACCAAGGCCTCTAGGATCTTAAAAACAACAACCACTGAAGAAAAACCCAACTAGTCGTGATTTCTTTTCCAAGCTTTTTTGATGAAATAAACTTTTTTTTTGTTCCTAAAGCTCCAGATGCTTGTGGTACTAAACTAGTTCTTGCCACATAAGACTGTTACTAGTAAGCCTAACCACTTGGCTAAGCCGTCCAGGTTTCTAAAGTCGTGGCTTTCACAGTCACCTCAAACATCCTGAGAGCCACACAGGCCCCCAGACAACTGACAGCCCCGCTCTGGGGCTGGAGGAGGTGCCCTCAGGCCATGGGCTTAGGGAGCGAGTGAAGGCTTGGAAGCAAGGCCGCAGGCATGAGACTTTTCTCATGCGCACGTAGCGCAGCTGGGTGGCCGATCTGGAGGGAGAGTCTGGCTTTCCTGTGTCACTGAGCAGTGTCCTTGGCTGTATCAGGCCCTATAAACAACAGCCTAATGTAATCCAGGGCTCTACTGTGGGTTCCTTGCTCCTGGATGATGACTTCTTAGGGCCTAAGTTGCCTCTCCTTGGAAACAATGAAACAAGACCAAGCAGGTATGAAGACAAGGAAGTCCCCAGAGACTGGGACAGGTGCTTTACAGACCAGTGTTTGATGCAGCAAAAAACAAAGCAGCTTGACTGAGCAAGCGAAGAGCATAAGCCCCTTGGGAAGAGGAATGGCAGCGAGGGCGGCGCCTCGTGGGAATTCTACCCGCCAGGACCCCAGGGCAGGAAGATGACGTTGGGATGCTATCTCCTGCCAGGTGAGACAGCGCCAAGCATCAAGGAGCAGAGCTTCTCTGCCGAGCTGGATAAAGCGCAGGGCTTGGGTCCCGCTGGAGGCAGATGCCAGAGCATCTGCTAACTAAAAGGAGAGGGGAGGTCACAAAAGGCAGCAGAAGACCTGTTGGGGCGACTAGAGAACTAGTGCCCAGAGAGAGAAGCCGAAGCCTGCATCCCCACAGTGCCTCTGGGTTGTTGCAGAGAACAGGCATCAAAAGATGGTGCAGGGAGGGGCAAAGATTCACTTGCAGATTAAACACAGAAATGGTTTCTGAATGGCAGATGAGACAGGGAGTTCCCACTGAAGCACAGTGGGCCAGACAGGAGAAACGAGACAGGCTGGTTGACAGAGACGGCCCATGAGAGGCACGGGGTGAGAACGCAACAAAGGGGCCCCTGAGCTGGCAGGTACAAGGGCACGTGCCACACAGACGTGGGAGAGCTGCCTGCTCTCCATACAAGGCTCCGGTGCAAGTCAGGGTCAGCAGAAGAAGGGCAGTACGACACACAGAAGGAAATCACACAGATAGAGAAGAACTCCAGTACCACATGCCTCACCTGGGAAGGTACAGGCCCCCAAGAAGATGAGCAAGCTGCTCGCCACGGGGCATCGCTACCTGTCTGGCTGGCTCAGGTGCTGCGTCTTCCACGGGCGTCTTGCTGGGCACAAGGATGCTGGTTAACTGCGTCTGAGGTCTTCTGAAGCCTCAGGTGCGCACACAGAAAAGTCCAGCGGGAGGAACAAGCACCTTATTTACACAGCTTGCAGTTCCTGAAAGAAGTCTAGCATTTTCTAGGTCGATTTGCAGTTCTGTTTATTCAAACAGAGTTTTGAAAAAAAGGAATACAATCCTTTTCCTTTCGGTGTATTATTTTAAAGTGTGGACTGTTTTAGTAAGTGACATGTTGCACAGTGATTAGCTGCGTATACATATAGGTGTATGTCTTTAGCAGCCTCCAGTCTTATAAAAGAGGCAGCGAGAGTTTTGGTTTAGCAGGGGTCTGAGAGTTTAAATATGTAAAATCCAGTTTCAGATGGTAAAACTCTTGTTATTATGCTTAATACAAGCCATAGACTCAAGTAACTGAAATGCTGGTCCTCTCTTTGGATGATGCTTTGGTAAGAAAAGCAAGGAAGATGCCCTCCATAACCACAGAGCGTAACTATCTTAAGAGGACATATTTTACTGGAGTTTTTCTTAACACTGTGGAACCCCGTTGAAGAAATAATTTCTACAAATAAGTCTGCCCAAAAGATGCCGCCAGATTACATGTGGGAACTGGTTTTCTCTGACCGTGCTAGGGCCTGAGGGCTTTGCCTTCCAGATTGCAGGCATGCAGGCCCAGAAGAGAGAGCCGTGCTGCTCTGAGGGGGCCTAAACCCTGGGACGGTGGGCAAGGGTTATTATGCAGCCCTGGTGCTTCATGCTCTCAGTTCCCTTTGGGGGTCAGGCTGTTTGTGCTGCAGGAATGACAGGTGGTGGGACCGGGGCTCTTACCCCTGTCAGGCCAGATGACAGAAGGCCTGACGGCATCCCTCAGCACCCCCATCCCATCCCGGACCTTTAACACTTGACAGCTATGTTCTGATCTTTACGTTTTCCTCAACAAATAGATTGATTTAAATGCTGTTGGCAAATTGATAACAAAGCAAAATAAAACTTCATAAAACTAAAACTTGACAACCAGTCAGGCTTCTGTGTAGATGGTTCTGCAGAGAAGACACTGGTGGGGAGAGGGGAAGGGAGACGGGTTGGCTCCATTCCTTCAGACTTGTAATGAGCGCCAGGCACAAAAGGCTAGTAAGATGCCCACAGCCCCTGCTTTAAGGGGCTCGTGCTGTGTGGGTAATAGAGGCATGTTTTTTCTTTTCTTTTTTTTTCTGCGTGGTAATACATAATTACCCTGTGGTGTGCTAAAAACTGTAACACAGATGAACAAGTTCAGCTGCACTGAAGCAGGAGACTGTAAGTCACTCTCGGGGGCATGGGGAAGACTTTGGCAGGATATGGTTGGAGTTGGGTCTTGAAAATTTTTCCTGGTGGAAGAGGTGAGGGGCATCCCAGACAAAGGGACTCATGTGTGCAAAAGTCAATAGCATGCACACATGAAAGCACCTGCCATGTTGAAGGAGGCCCCGCAGGGCAGGATGGGAGCAGGGGAGACATGCTGGAAGGATCAGCTTTCCGCCTGACCCCTTCTCCCGCTGTCTAGCCCAGAGGCTTATTGCTGGGAGCAAGAGAACATCCCTGGTGGGCTTTTCTGTTCCCCGCAGTGGCTAACGTGGGACGTGCTCAGTAACACGTGGTGTGTTGAACTGCATTAGCTGTGACTAGGACTCCACTTCTTAGCACATTCGACGATCATTCCTGACTATTCAGACCCTGTATCTGGGGTAGGCGATTTTAAGGGGAACTCCTCTGGTCTTTCACCTGGATCCTTTGGAAGAATTAATCTTTTTCCATCTAATAGAGTTTATTTATAAATAGGGACTTTTAGAAAGTTGACAAGGTCAATAACCACAAAGCATACATTCTAGTCTCAAAAAATTAGATAATTAGCCATCTTAGCTTTGTAAGGTTTTTTCTCTCTCTTTTTTAAACATTTTATGAAACTACCCAGGTCCCTCAGGGTCAAGCAGATTATAATCAGGCTACTCCACAGCTCTGCTGAGGGGGAAAGCCCTACCCCTCGACTGCCCAGCGTCCTTGTCTAAGCGTCGCCTCAGCTGGCTCCAGGCTCTGAGGCATGTGACATGCACTCGCTCAGAGCAAGCGCACTGAAGACACGATTATAGAAACTTCTGGGCTTCCTCTTGGCCTTCAAGTTTTCCTTGCCCTGACATGTTGAAAATAGAACTTGATAACATTGGCATTTGGGTTTTATTGGTCTGGCTTTATTACCCTTTTTCATCTGGACCCAGTGTGGGTGTCTTTGGCTGGGAAGAGGTCAACTTTGGGGAACCGAGAATCGGGCCCCTGAACTATATAGATGTGCCTCTACTGTCTTTCTCCTTCCTCACATCGGGCAGCTGACTCTTACGAGATCTGGACTGCTCCCAGGATGTGTTCCTCCTCTCCAAGACCCCACCTGGAGGACGTGAGTCTTGTTTCCTCTCTTCAGCTCAAGACTTCCATTTGTGCCACTTGGAAGAGGCACTTTTTAAGAGCTGAAAAAAAGTGCCTGGCGTGACTTTCATCTCTCCACAAGGACAGGGCATTTTAACCAAAGGCAACAAGAAACAACATACATGAGAGAAAAAAAAAATCATACGAAAGGGAAGGAACAGAATGATGAGGGGATTCTGAAGAAAGTTGCTACCTCAGAGGCACCTGGGCCCCTGGTGAAGGAATTGGTATGCTTCTTTGAAGGGTGAATAGTTCTCTCTCGTCTGCTTCTCTTAGCCTTGGCCCTACCCAATTATACAAGAAGAGTACCTACTCAAATCCTAAAGGAAGATGGGAAACAGGGATAGAATAGAATAAAGACCAGGGCATGTGATATAAAACCCTAGAATCCTGTCATAGGAGTGGGAAAAAAAAGTTCTGGGCCTAGGAGAGTCATTGTACAATCAGTAGGGCAGCGGTTCTCAATCAGGGGCAACTTTGCCTCTCATCCCCCAGAGACACTTGACAATGTCTAGAGATGTTTTGGCTGTCACAAGGGAGGGATGCTGCTGGCATCTAGAGGGTAGAGTTCAAGGACACTGCTAAACATCCTGCAGTGCAAAGGGCAGCCCTCACGGTGAGAATTATCCAGCCCCACATGTCAGTATTGACGTGCTGATGCCAAGGCTGAGAAACCCTGCCCTAGGGCCGTCATAGACTCTCCACCTCTTAGGGACAGAAACCAAGCTCTGTGTTCCTTTTCTAGCACAGCTGAAGAAAATACAGCGTCCAGTTAAGTGATTCAGTCCCAGTTGTTCCAATTTGGTTAAACCTCAGATCCCCCTCTCAAGGTCCGTGCACTTTCTTTCATAAAGGATTTCCTTAACATTACTTTTTTCCTGGCAGAAAACTCCAGAGTTTTCATTTCCCAGCCCCATAGTTCCTGTTAACTTTCAGAGAAGACCCTGAATTAAACCAGCCCCTAATTACAGACATGCCTCAGTGGAAGAGCCTGCAAACAATTGAGTCCAAATTGCTCAAGGCTCCCGCTGACAAACAAGCTTACCCCATCCATCTGAAAGGACATGTTACAGTCTGAGACCCGCGCCACGTTGGTGTGAGAAGGCCCTTGTGAATTGCAGGCGCCCCTGGGGGGATGAGGTTTGGGGCTTCACTCCTTTGGGGCTGCCTCATCCTTGTTTCTTAGGGGACAGCCCCATTTGCTGCCCGAGTCTTTGGGAAATGAGGGGAAAGGGAGAGTTCTGGCCAAGTTTCTATAATCAGCCTTCAAATGAACAGGTTTGCCTTAGACTGCCACAGATTCTTACTCGAGGGAGAAAGCCCAGCCCAGCCTTTGCAAGCAGCAGCTCTGGGTAAGCCATGCTGGAGGGGCAGCGGCAAAGCTGCATTAGGGCTGTGATCTCCACGTCCTGAGCTGGAGCCGGTCTGGGGGGCTTCTGCTTAGAGGCCCCTCAAGCTCCCCCAGCCAGACTGGGAGGGTCTACTGAAGCGCTCTGTTACCAGCCTGACTGCACTGCCTGCTCTACAGGTGCCAGCTTAGACCTGAACTGGTCTAAGAAGATGGCTAATTATCCCCGAGGCTACAGTTCATTGTACACGTGGGGGTTACTTTTGGATGTCAAGTTCCTACATGCTTCTGCTCCTCTGTAACTGCCCTCACACACTGTCCCTGCAACGTAAAGTCAGGATGGACAGTTGTTAGTGTCCACTTAGAATCAGAACATGTTAGCACCGAAAGGACGTTAACTCACCTAGTCCAACCCATCATTTTATGGCTGAGGAAACCAAGGCCAAAGGAGGGACATGATTTGCCTGCGTCATATAGCCAGGAGGAAACAAGGTGAGGCCTTGAACCTGGGTCTACTGACTGTTGGGGAGTATCTGTCACACCATCCCTGGTGACTTGTAGAGACTTAGCACAGAGAACAGAGCTGACTATTATCCTTGAATCACAAGGAAAATTCTACCTGATCTATGTGGGCAGAGTCCCTTATCTCCAGGAGGAGTTTTATTTTATTTAAGAGTTGAAGTTTTTCCGTTTAACCCTTGACTACTATATACTTCATTTAGAAAAATAGGAAAAGAGAATGTTATATCCAGAATAGAACACCAGGGGATAATTCTATGCATTTGAGGTATTTCCTGGAAAAGGAGTTGGTATAGTTATCATCATGTACATCCTCAATTTTTAGGCGGGGCCATTGTTTATAGATTCAGTTTGCAGACCAAGAAACTGGTGAAAAGAGGGAGATGACCTTAACTAGTGACATCTGGAGAGGAGAACACAAAAGATAAATTCTTGGACAGTTCTTGATTAAGTAACTGACAGAGAAGGACGTAATTCTGACCATATGTGTGGGTCAGTGCAGAAGGGCATGTTTCTAAAGCTTTCTGGCAAGGGCCTTGAAATTCAATCTTCCTGTGGTCCACTAAGCTTAGCAGGTGACAGTTACAATCTCACACACTATGAAAGGAACAACAACAGAACAAGGTGCCCCATGTGAGACGAGGAGAGCTGATTCTCTGACAAGTGGGTTAATGGTCATCCTTAAATATGAACCCTTGGCCCAGCCTGGCCACAAGCGATGTGAGAAAGTGAACTTAGCAATTTGAAGAGTGTGGGCCCCTCACCCCTTTCCCCGGGCCCCCAGCTTTCAGCTGTCTTGATGTAGATACCGTGCAAGTCAAGATGTTAACTGTCCATCTGGGGGGTTATGGTTACGGATTTAAAAGGAAGAACTGAGCTTCCATAGCTCAGGAAGAAACCGAATTATTAAGCTTCATTCCGTATAGATCTCGGATGCCTGTACAAGCTTCAAGGAGATGAGACAAAAGGCAGTTCTGAAGATACTTTCTTGTCTAACGGGCCCTGCTACATTAGACCATGAGCTGCTTGTGGCTCGGATGTGGGTTATGCCCATTTTCTAAAACCTTACAAAGGAGCATCCCTGGACCTTGGTGGTGCTGGTGGTGCCAGGAATCACCTGGCAAGGCCAAAGATGGGCCTTGATGCCAAGAAAGGCTGTAAGAAGTTAGAAGGTTTGATCTCATGAAAAGGGCCCTATCATGTATCTTAGGAGAAGGGGTAGGTAGTTCTTCAGGGCAGAGAGGCCCCCAGAACATCCTCTCTTCCCCATCTGTGGGAGACTCCCAGACTTAATGATTGTTGTGGTCCACGCGCCTGGAGGGCCTGGCTCGCGCTTCTCTACCAAGGCTCAGGGAAGTCAGGGTCGGTGGAGGGAGACCTCAGTAAACCCACACACGGTAGCTCCTCACGCATCTGGTTCCCTTGGCAGCCAGGGTGCTCTTAACCCATCTCCTAAGGGTATCAGTGACAGTGCCCAAGAGCAGGGCACCCGATTTCATACAAAACAGACATCTCGGCTCCACACTCGCCACACACTGCATCTCCTCACCTTCACGTCGGAAGGAGACGTACACCAGCCTCTCATCAAATTTCTGGACCTGCCGGAAGTTGTTGATCATCTCTCTAGGGGACGGGTCCTCCACCCGTGTGCAGTACAGGGCTGTCTCCAAATCCGTCAGCTGCGGGGGAAGAGCAGAAACACCCCCCACGGGCAGAGTGACGCCCCCTTGCCTGACCTCGAGGGAAAGGACCACCAGATCTCACCTCCGAGGCCTGGCGGGAGACCCTTGAGAAAGCAGTGGGGAAGCCAGAAGCTGCCCCTCCCCTGCGCGTGTCTGAGTGATGGGGCTCGGCGAGCCCGTGTGTCTTCCCACTGTCCTCCCACCTCCCGGGGCTGCCGGAAGGGTTCGTGCTGTCAGATCCTGATTGAGCCTGAAATCTGCCGTGCAGGGAGGGAAACCTGGGGTGGTGAGGGGTTCCTCAGCCTCCCACGGAGACTGCATTCCTCTCCTGGGCCTCATTCAGGACCCAGCTCTGAATCAGAGGGGCCTGGGCCTTAGTCTGATGGTCCCATCAAGAGGAACCAAAAGAGGGAGGCAAGAGGCTCACAGGTCATCTGACTTCTAGTTCCATGGTATTTTCATACACCCATATAGATCATGTAACTGTTTCTAAGGCAGTTTCTGGGTTAGGACATATTACTGCCCTTCTGAGCATTTTCTCTTGATTCATCACGTCTTTATTCCTGTCAGCCTACTTGCTGCCATGTATCGAGGTTACTCAGATCAATAGCTCATAGTAGAAAGGAAGGAGCAGCAGCGAGAGCTGTGCTGGCTCACGAAGCGGGTGGGGGCCGCGAGCCAGTGTGCAGCGGCCCCCTGGCCCCGTCTCCTGGGCAGCCATACTTCCGACTGATGAAACTCAGCTGCAGGGTAGAGACACCGGCAGTGACCTGGAACTCAGCTCTATCTTTGGGTCTTAGCTCTGTCACTAACCAGCTGGTGATCCCCAAGTTTCCTCAACTCTCGAACCCTTGCTTTCATCACCTAAGAAATGAGAGGGTTAGAGATGATTCCCAAGGACTCTGTCCCCCAGTTTTACACTAGACTGTGAACTTCTTGAGGGCAGAGATCCTCACTGCTGTAATCCCCACCCCCTCGGCTTTGTTAAACAGTCTAACCTGATCCTGTCTTTATTCTACCCCTGTAAAGGAGCCATGCTCTTTCCTGCCTGGGAGGTAGACACTATCCGCTGAGGGATATATTAGGAAACGCAGCTTAACAGCTCTTAGCTAAAGAACTGTGGAGACAGATTCATTTTCCCCACTTGGCTTGATAGCTCCACTTTTGAAGCTCAGCCTGTCATTTCTGAAGTGCTTCCAAGCCCCTGTGATATCTGGAGAGGTTTTGAATAGCTGCCAGTGAAACTCGAAGTGAGGAGATCAAGTCGTTGATCGTGATATGGGTGGTGGTAGCGTCCGAGGCACCACGTGCTCTCTGACGGGAAAGAGCACGACAGTTACCTGCTGCTGGGAGATTTCCACAGGGTTCCGGAAAACCGTCCAGAGCACGGTCGGGTAGCAAGGAGGTGTGGTCAGGGACCCGCGGTAGCGGTAGTACTCCTCAGGCCTCTTCGGCAGCAGCTCCTCAATGCTGAAACCCGGAATGGACACTTCTTGGCCTGGAGAGACATGTTGGGGGATGATGTCACCTTGCTCCCCAAGGCAGAGGTGCAGCTGAGCATGTGACAGACTAGGAAGGTGAACTAGCCCCATTCTGAGCCATCTGATCCTAGGACTTGGTCACAGACAGCACCCGGCCCCCTGCATGGGTTCTTCTTCAGATCACACAAGGGTGAATACACTCTTCTCCAACAGAGGGGGAATACGCCTCCAAGGACCTCTCACCTTTGTACTTTACATCTTTAAGGTGACTGAAGATCTTGTCATATGATGGATTGAAGGAGCCCATCTGCAATAGAGATGGGGCAGGTTGAACAGGGACAGAATTCAATAGGCTGAGCTTGGCTTGACAATTGTGAATGGAAGGGCTCTGCTGAGGGTGTGTAATCACCACTGCTGAGATCCTCCCCAAAGGATGCACTTTACTAGGACAGTTATGATGCATCACTAGGTTGTTAGGGGGTTGGCGGAATGGTCCTGCCCTCTTGCATCTCAGGACATCCTATTTCCAGCTCAAGGCACTGGGGCTGGGGTGTCCCAGAGCAACAGGTAGAGCTTGTGCTCCTGATTATCTGGCTGTGAGCTTAAAGGCCACAAATAGCATGTTCTCTAACCAGAACTTAAGGGAGCTTGAGTTCATGCAAGCCAAGTCAGGCAAGTAAGTATGTTGAGAAACGACATACGTGCTGTCTCCTTAGGGGGAAAAATGAAAGCAAATCAGGAGGTGTTCCCATGTTCTGGGATTAAGGAAAGAACTTATGCTGGGGTTCCTATAAAGGATGGAGCTTGGATGCTGGAAATTGTATCAGGCATGTGATGGGGCAGCAGTGAATGATTCCGCCACCCCCGACAGGCCCTGTCCAACTTGGCAATTCCTTGATTATGCAATAGGGCTGGAGACTAGGACTCATCTTTCCAGTGTCACCTAGGACATGCCCATTCCTGCTGTCCAGCCACAGAAAGGGCTGCCTCCAGGCCAAGAGAGCAGGAACCCTGTGGGGAAATAGCCCCTGCTCTAGAGTCAAGACACAGCCGAAACGGAACAGACGGGTGTGCAAGGAACCAAATACCAAGTCTGATGTCATCCTGACATCAAATTTCATGTAAAATGCCTCTCAACATCTCTTACCTCTATGAGAACAGCTAGGACCGCGAGGCCTTCTGGCTTGTCACTGGCGATGCTGGCATTGGGGTACAGGTCCGAGTTATAAAAGACCATATGCAGCTGCAGTGGGAGAGGGGAGATGAGTTGCTATCCATCAGGGGATAGGGACCCATGGGAAGCTTTCACTTTTGCAGGAGACTGGAATCCAATGGGGGGGACAGACCACCCCCATCCCCAGCTAGATTCGGCCTCCCAGACCCTTGCCTGATGGCCACCCCAGTGTTCCCTTTTCTCTCAGTCCTCTAGACTGCAAACTCCACCAGGCCAGTCTGTCCATCTTATTCACTCATGGTATCCCAGTGTCTGATATGGTGCTTGAAAAGTACCAGGTACACAATAGATACTGAATGAATGAATGAACACATTGGCTTTTATACTAGCTGTGAAAAAGCTTGGATACTTTGGAGCACTTCTCCCTTCTGATTTTTCCTACTTATTCTGGAGCCTGGGGCAAAATGGTCCCATGTGGCTTGCCCAGCCTAAGCCCGGCCACTCTGCATTTGATCTGGGGGCCGGGGCAGTAAACCTCCAACTGTACCTTAATCATACTTGTACCCAGAGCAGGACATGCATTTATCTCTCAGGTGGAGACAGTCACAACATGACTTTTATACAGGTTTTATCAACTATATTTTAAGAGACCATGAAACAAAAATGCTACTCCATGAACGTAGACCCCAAAATACCATTCTAAACTCATTTTTTTTCAAAGCAGAAGTTACTTATCATTATTAAAGTGAGGAAAAGAGAAGTTTTTGAGAAATGTTGGGTTTAAAAGGTCTAGGTAGGGCTTCCCTGGTGGTGCAGTGGTTGAGAGTCCGCCTGCCGATGCAGGGGACGCGGGTTTGTGCCCCGGTCCGGGAAGATCCCACATGCCGCGGAGCGGCTGGGCCC